TGAGCCTTTTCTGTTTCCATGGAGTTTCATCATAACATTGGATTTGAGTTCTTAATGACGTAATTATCCTATTTTCCTTCTTGCACTCAATTTTCCACTTAGTCTCCAAGAATTCGGTACCATTTTTCCTCGCTCATTTCATTTTTTTCATTTTTATTTTTTGTTCAATTTGCATCGCCACTGGGGTGTAAGTTCACGTTCCTGAACAAAACCCTGTTTTTTTTAAAAATCAGGTCGGCCAAACCTATCTGAAACAAGTATCCGTACGGTGTGTAGAAATGTCACGACCATGATAGCCATGGTTGATTCTCCCTTACCAGCAGGCGCTCTATTGAAACCTTTGCAAAATGTTGTGCAGTTCCCAGCGCTTGTGCAGCAAGGAAGGCCTCTCTGAAGCGATGGAAAAATCATGATTTCATCATTTCCACTTCACAAGGAAAGTCGAAAGACATCGCTGTCGAGCGCAACACGGAGTGTGTTGATGATGGGTTGTTAGGCTGAGACAGACGAATTCTTCAGCACCAACTTATATTATGCTATGTGCATGATGTGCCAGTTGACCAAAATATTAGAATACAGAATACGTAATAACAGAGTTGGGAGAGTCCTTGGAAGTTTTCTAGTCCAACGCCCTGCTGAAGCAGGAAATCCTATACCTGTGATGGCGAAACTTTGGCACGCGTGCCACAGGTGGCACGTGTAGCCATATCAGTGGACACGCGAGCTCAGCTCCGGCGGGACCAGAAGTTGTCAAACGGGGTGTTTTCAGCCTTCGGAGGATCTCCGGGGGGTGGGGAAGGCTGTTTTCGCCCTCCCCAGACTCCTAGAGAAACCCTGGAGCCAGATGAGAAAGAAAAATGGGCCTACTGGGCCATCGTGTGCCAGAAGCGGGAGGAGGGGGGGTTGCGCACGCATGCGTGGGGGCGTGGTATATAGAATTATGGGTGTGGGCATGTGCACGCAGGACCCACCCCACCCCCACCCCACTCCTGGCACGTGATGACAAAAAGTTTAGTCATCACTATCCTATACCATTTCAGACAAATGGTTGTCCACTCTCTTCTTAAAAACCTCCAGTGTTGAAGCACCCACAACTTCTGGTGGCAAGTTGTTCCACTGGTTAGTTGTTCTCACTGTCAGGAAATTTCTCCTTAGTTCTTAAGTTGTTTCTCTCCTTGATTAGTTTCCACCCATCGCTTCTTCTCCTGCCCTCCAGTGCTTTGGAGAATAGCTTGACTCCCTCTTCTTTGGGGCAGCCCCTGAGATATCGGAAGACTGCTATCCTGTCTCCCCTGGTCCTTCTCTTCATTAAACTAGACATACCCAGTTCTTCATGTGTTTTAGCCTCCAGTCCCCTAATTATCTTTGTGGCTCTTCTCTGCACTCTTTCTAAAGTCTCCACATCTTTTTCACATCGTGGCGACCAAAACTGGGTGCCGTATTCCAAATGTAGCCTTACCAAGGCCTTATAAAGTGATATAAAATGTTCCTAAACCTTACTCGAGTTGAGGTTTCATAGAGACATATAGTATTGATACGCCTAAATATACTAAACAGTATAAATCATACTGTTTGCAATGATTCTCCTGTGATTTCCTATTTTATTCCCATTATTTCCTGAAAGGCTCCATTCCAGATGCTTACTTGGATTGTTCTTTGCTTTAGCTTTTCTGTCCAAGTAAGAGAGCTTATTGTAGAAAAAACCCCAGCAGAAAAGTCACTTTCTCCTTTGCCTTTTTTTTTTAAATAAAGAAAAGGTCAGAGGCTGCAGAAATTTAAAGAAAACATGCTTTGCGTGTGGATGTGTTTGGAAATAAATACCTGTTTTGAGGTGCCCAAGGAGTGAGATGGAACGGCTGCTGCTTTTATTTTTTTTAACTTCCTCCAAATAAAACACAGGAAAAGTACATTTATTGCGTCGTGCATGCTATCTGACTAATGGCTTTGTTCCCAAAAAGAGAAAGAAAATGCAGATTTGGTCACATCATAACATCTCAAAATACTTTGGAACTTTGCAACTCCTTTGGCTCAGCCTCACTTTTTTTGAAAGCTGCCTCCGTGCTTTTCCTTCTCTTGTCTGGATTAGTGAAAGATACCTATTTTTCTTCCCCAAATAATATAATTTCTCCTTTTTCATCATTCTGCTACATGGGCAGTGGAGAAAAAAAGAGGACCTCTTTGTCTTCTATACTTCCAGTCGACCCGCTCACACTTCATATATAAACCAAGAAAGCTTTTATACCACAATAATTTAAGCCGTCTACGTATGTGTGTTTTGGGGTGTGTGTGTGTGTGTGTAGAACGGCAACAGATGGTAACATATCATCATGGGTGTTACTAAAAAAATTCCATTTTTAAATTTTTGCTCTGCAATCCACTCCCTCTAAAACTAGAGCAAAAACACCATTTGTGAATTCTGGAATATGCCAGGGTTGAATTTGCGTGGATTTGATTGGTGTCAGAGGCCAGTATTTCCAAATCCACGTGTGATTCAAGGGCATCAAACAGCCTGAGATTCTGGTTCTAAATGTGTCCTTGAATCTTCTGATTGGGAAATTCCCCCCCCCTTCTCTTTATTCCCATCCGTGTTTGTAAAATGCCTTGTCCCAGCTAGAATCTTCTATCTGGGAGGTTAATCCTTCTCCCTCTTGTGATCATTTTTACTAAGATTTAGATAGATAGATAGATAGATAGATAGATAGATAGATAGATAGATAGATAGATAGAAAGATAGATAGATAGATAGATAGATAGATAGATAGATAGATAGAGTGTATGTGTGTATACATATATATATATATATACATATATTTATATAGAGAGTAATGGGACACGGTGGCTCAGTGGCTACGATGCTGAGCTTGTCGATCGAAAGGTCGGCAGTTCAGCGGTTCGAATCCCTAGTGCCGCGTAACGGGGTGAGCTCCCGGGACTTGACCCAGCTTCTGCCAACCTAGCAGTTCGAAAGCACATAAAAAACGCAAGTAGAAAAATAGGGACCATCTTTGGTGGGAAGGGAACAGCATTCTGTGTGCCTTTGGCGCTGAGAGTCATGCCGGCCGCATGACCACGGAGACGTCTTTGGACAGCGCTGACTCTTCGGCTTTGAAACGGAGATGATCACCGCCCCCTAGAGTCGGGAACAACCAGCACATATGTGCGAGGGGAACCTTTACCTTTATATGGAGAGGAGAGGAGAGGAGAGGAGAGGAGAGGAGAGGAGAGGAGAGGAGAGGAGAGGAGAATTGAATCAAATTAGAATAGAATAGAATAGAATAGAATAGAATAGAATAGAATAGAATAGAAGAGAAGAGAAGAGAAGAGAAGAGAAGAGAAGAGAAGAGAAGAGACTATAGAATAGAATGGAATAGAATATAGAACAGAACAGAACAGAACAGAACAGAACAGAATAGAATAGAATAGGACTGTTTAACTTTGAATGGTCACTAAACGAATGGTTGTAAATCAAGGATTACCTATATAGGAGACTTCCCTTTGTTTTAATGGTAGCTTCCCATTGTTGAAGATGCCTTATAAAAAACACAATCAGAAATCGGTTATTTGCCTTTTCTTTCTTTGCTGCAGCAATGGTATCCAGATAATAAACATCGCTGGCAGTTGGGACTCTGTTTGCACAATCCACTTATGTCTGCTTAACCATGAGACGCTAAAGCTAAAATATACCGTAGTTTCTCCTTTGTGGGCCCAGAGCCCCCTGGAAACCTAAAGCCTTTAAAAATCACTGTTCACCCATAAAGGGTTCACCAGCTCCATTGTGGAAATTCAAACCCTACCTTGAAAAGGAAAAGGAAAAAAAATAAAATAAACCTCTATGAAAGCTTGTTTTAACCAATACAATCTGTTTCAAAAGACCATATTCAGCAAGCACTTTCAAAGAGAAAGAGGAAAAACGCACGAGAGCTTTTGTCATAGGTAAAATCTCAGCTGGAGCAGACATGTGGTCGGACCGTATGTGAATAGGCGTGTTAAAAGGACACAGGAAAATGGTCGATCTGCTGTGTACCCCAAAGAAAAGGCTAAAAATGCTTACATGCCTTTTTTTTCTTGTTTAAACAAATGAGCTTATTTTGTTGGGCTGTGCCAGAAACAATAAACCTTTGGGGTTTTTTTTTTTTGGTGTCATGTCATTGTAATTTAAATAAAGAGATATGCAGATTTATGGTGAGAAATGTGAAATAATGGCTCCGTCCATCAGAACAGGTGGCATTCATTAGCAAGTAGTTTAAGGTGTGTCCCACAGGGTTTTCTAAGTAGCCAAAAACAGAAACCAGAGGTGATGAGGAGGGGCAAAGAAGATCCTGGTAGAAGACCAATATTGGTTTAGATTGCTTTTGCAACTTGCTAAGGCTAATTCTGCAGAGTTGCAATCTATCAAGATCTTTTAACGTGCGTGCTTTTTCCATGTAAGCAAGTAAGATTTTTTTCCCCAAAAAAGTATTGGAACAGAAAGTCATCCTCTCCATGATAAGGAGAGACAGCTTGAGAAAGGGAGAGAGATTAGATCTTCTTCTCGTACCATATTCCTGCATAGCGATTGAATATTCTCCATATTATGGACCTGTGATTTATATCTCAACCTATCTTTTGCACTCGGGGCAATTTATAGGCAATTTAGGGTCTTGCATGTAGGGTTTCCTCCCTCCCTCTTAAACTTTAATCCAGAATTTAAAAAAAACAAAACAAAACTGCAGCTAACAGATGTTAACAATCTCCTAATGTTTCACGTAGGATGGGATTGCAGCGGAATTTATATCGTCCCCCTGCATGTTGGAGAGCTGAAGATTTCCTGCCACTGCTCATCGTATATTAATTTAATAACATGAAATAAAAATTGAAGGCTGACTTTCCGGTTGTAAACAGGAGTCTCCCTTTTTTTTTGTAAAGTTACCCCTTTCCAAACCCACCCACCCACCCCCGGCCCAGTTTTCTTGCGCGTGAAACTCATTTTAATGACATTTTTTTCGGTTTTGTCTCTTCAGAGACCCCGTTTCAGAGACCAAAAGTCACGTTGGAGTGAGCGAATGAATCATTTTGCAGATAAAAAAAACAGGTAAGAGAGAGCCAAGGCAACGGGGTCACGAGCTTAAAAACAAAACATCAGGTGATCCCGTTTTAAAGAGTGGAGAGTCCCGAAGTAATAAAAAAAAAAAAATTCAGTGACTTCTTCCTAATAACATCAGTGGTAGCAAATCTCTGGAAAGGTTGCAGCCCGATAAGATGGGATAAGATAAGGCCCCATTTTGCAAAAACCTGCCCAGGGGAAAAAGGCTATCCTGGTTGCCTTCTTTCTCCTTTCTTCCTCCTCTTCCTCTTTTGGGTTGTTCTCAAATCTCCAAAACGGTGGGCCAGTTTTCCCTCTTGGAAGCTGCTGGGAAGGATGGGTGATCTGGGAAGCAGAGCAAAAAAAAAATACTCCGCATAACTCAGCGAACTCAAGCCTCCAGGTGATGGTAGCCACACCTGTCCGCCAGTTGCAAACATCTTTTGGGAATCCCCCTCCAATCCTCTCCGTGCGCGTGCGGGGTTTCTAACACCCCCTACGAGAAGAACCAAATGGCTACGGACTTTCTCTCCCCCCTAGGCCTTGTTCAAAAGAAAGGGCCAGCTGCTCGGAGACGTAGGCAAGCAAATGCCACGCTGGAAAAAAAAATAATGTCTCCTTCCTCAGGGGTTACTACTACTACGACTCAATTCGCGTCTCGGATTGAGAAACTCTTGAGACCGCAACAGCTGGGTTTTTTAGAGGCCGTAGCCACAACAGAAAGGCCCTTTCAGACCAGATCAAGATTCCTTTTTCTTTCTAGCTATCTAATCCAATGTTTCTTGTTTTGATTTAGAGCCATTCTCAGAGCCTTAGTCATAATTTTCCCCCCCTTCATCTTCTCCTTTCTTTCAAAAAAAAAAAAAAAAGCCAGGAATCGGGTGGCAAGATCTAGTCAATTTTATCTGGGCTTAAAAAAAAACGATGTAAGGTTAGTTCTAAGAGGAGAGCTGTAGGCTTAGACCAAATGCTCAAATCAAATCGTTTTATTACAAACCACAAGGCCGGGGAAAAAAATGGTTGATTAAAAAAAAAAAAAGTAGGTGAAGTTAATGGCAAACCGTTTCTGTAGGTTGCCAAGGAAAATTGCATGAATGTTTCTTATGAAGAAGTCACAACAGTCAAAATTCGGCACTTTTTGCCTTTTAATGATAAAACTTCTTAGAGGACTATCCTTGCTGAGCACCTTATGATCTTGATAGTTAGTCAAACTATTGCGCAAGGTTTCGTGATGGCATCAATATGCACTTTCTAAGGAAGTGTTTTATTCATTTATTTAATCAATTTATATAACCACCCATCCCAACACATTATTCTGGGGGGTGAACAATGGTAAATCCATGCTTTCTTTCTTTCTTTCTCTTCTTCTTTCTTTCTTTCTTTCTTTCTTTCTTTCTTTCTTTCTTTCTTTCTTTCTTCTTCCTTCCTTCCTTCCTTCCTTCCTCCTTCCTTTTTCTTTTCTTTCTTCTTTCTTCCTTTCTCCTTTTTCTTCCTTTCTTTCTTTCTCCTTTTTGTCTCTCTCCCTCTTTTCTCTCTCTTTCCTTCTTCTTTTCTCTTTCTTTCTCTTTTTTCTTTCTTTCTTCTCTCTCTCTCTTCTCTCTTTCTTCTCTTTCTTTCTTCCTTTCTTTCTTTCTTTCTTTCTTTCTTTTTCTTTCTCTCTTTCTCTTTCTCTTTCTTCTTTCTTTCTTTCTTTCTTTCTTCCTTTTCTTTCTTTCTTTCTCTCTCTCTCTTTTTCTTTCTTCTTTCTCCTTTCTGTCTCTCTCCCTCTTTCTCTCTCTTTCTTTCTTCTCTCTCTCCCTTTCTTTCCTTCTTTCTTTCTCTCTTTCTTTCTTTTTCTTTCTTTCTTTGTCTTTCCTTTCTCTCTCCTTTCTTCTCTCTCCTTTCTTTCTTTCTTTCTTTCTTTCTTTCTTTCTTTCTTTCTTTCTTTCTTTCTTTCTCCTTTCTGTCTTTTCTTCTTTCTTTCGTCTTCTTTCTGTCTTCCTTTCCTTTCCTTTCTTCCTTTCCTTTCCTTTCCTTTCCTTTCCTTTCCTTTCCTTTCCTTTCTCTCTCACTCCCAGACACTTTTCCTGCCTCCCTCCGTTCTGTGGGGGCCATCAAAGAGAGCAGCCCAATCATCTTGTCAACCCTTCTCATCGCTTTGAACATCTGGTAGAGCAGGAGGTCAGCTCCAGAGAATGTCCCCACCCTGCCCCACCCCACGGCCTTTAAACAAGACGAGGCCGGTAGAAATATGTTTATTTTCCTCGCTGGAAGATAGGGAAGGGGCAAGGGGTTGCAGACGGAGTCAAGGGTAGAGCGGGGTTGTTTTGCTGGCCAACGAGGGAAACCAAGAACCCGAGAAACAAACAGCTTTGTTAGATATGGGAAGAAATGAATCCTTCTGCTTTGGTTTTCCTTCTGGGCTTTGAGGCATCTGTGGGTGGACTGGAGCTGGCAGGCCGAAAAAGAGCACCCACCAATCACAGGGTTGAATAGTTCAAGAAGTTTACGAGACTGTTTGTGTGCCAGAAGCGGTCGGCTGTGGAGCCAAGAAGGAAGGAAGAGAATAACCTTATGGTGCCAGAATCCTTCCTCCAAAGTCTGCTTTCTTTTCTTTCTTTCTTTCTTTCTTTCTTTCTTTCTTTCTTTCTTTCTTTCTTTCTTTTTTTCTCTCTCTCTCTCTCTCTTTTTCCTTCCTTTCCTTCCTTCTTTCCTTCCGTCTTCCTTTCTTTCTCTTTCTCTCTTTTCCTTTTTTTCTTCCTTCCTTCCTTCCTTTTGTCTGTCTGTCTTTCTTTCTTTTCTCTCTCTCTTTCTTTCTTTTTCTCTTTTCCTTCCCTTCCTTCCTTCCGTCTTTCTTTCTCTTTCTCTCTTTTCCTTTTTTCCTTCCTTCCTTCCTTCCATCTTTGTTTCTTTTTCTCTTTTCCTTTCTTTCCTTTCTTCCTTTCTTCCATCTTTCTTTCTTTCTTTCTCTTTCTCTCTTTTCCTTTTTTCCTTCCTTCTTTCCTTCCTTCGTCTTTCTTTCTTTCTTTCTTTCTTTCTTTCTTTCTTTCTTTCTTTCTTTCTTTCTTTCTTTCTTTCTTTCTTAATTGCAAAATAATCAAGAAAAAGGAACATAGAACACGGAATAACAGGGTTAGAAGAGACCTGGGAGGAGGAGGAGGAGGAGGAGGAGGAGGAAGAGGAAGAGGAGGAGGAGGCGGCAAGATGGAATATAATCGTAGTCTTGACATTTCTTTAAAAATAGGTGCTCTTTTGCAAAGTGGTACATCCTGTCAATCAGGCTATATGTCATGGGATTTATGAGTGGTTGTTGAGCTTCCTTCCTTCCTTCCTTCCTTCCTTCCTTCCTTCCTTCCTTCCTTCCTTCCTTCCTTCCTTCCCCTTCCTTCCTTCCTTCCTTCCCTTCCTTCCTTCCTTTCCGTCCTTTCCCCCTCTCCCTCCCTCCCTCCCTCTCTCTCTCTCTCGTAACTGCCCTTCCATCTTTTTATTATGCCATAGAAATAGACAAGCAAAGCTTGTTTATTGTCTGCTGTTCTCTTGTGGGCAGCCATTCCCTCATTCTCATCCTAACCAGCCATAATTGCAGCTTTAATCATTTGTACTGTCTCGTCTCCTTCTTCCTCCCCTTTACTATTTCTTTGTGTGTCATCGCTTTTAGATTTTTAAGGCTAAAAGCAGAGCCCACTTCCTCAGGCCTGTCTGTAAGCAGTATTGTGTCAAAAAAGAAGCGGGGAGGTCTACTACACCCCATCGACCTCTTGTGCTTGAGCTTGTGCAGAAAGCGTATACAGAATAGTCCTCGGTTTATGACCACAACTGAGCCCAACACTTCTGTTGCTAGATGAAACATTTGGTTAAATGAACTTTGCCTCACTTTACGACTTTTCGCGCCACGGTTGTTAAGCGAATCACCGCAATTGTTGAGTCACACAGCTGTTAACGTGAATCTGGCTTCCCCCCCCCCGTCGACTTTGCTTGTCAGGTGGTCACAAAAGGGGATCATATGACCTGGGATCATATGACACTGTTGCAGCGTCGTATCTATGACACTGCAACCGTCATAGATACGAGCCAGTTGCCAAATGTCTGGATGTTGATCAGGGGCCTGAGTGGCGTAGGAGGCTAATGCCTCCTACTAAGGCAGCATTTAACATCCAGCTGCCTGCAATTACTGCGAGTTCGAATCTCACCAGGCTCAAGGTTGACTCAGCCTTCCATCCTTTCTAAGGTGGGTAAAATGAGGACCCGGTTTGTGGAGGCAATAAGCTGACTTTGTATAAAATATACAAAGGTATGAAGGCTATTGCTTAACGCATTGTAAGCCGTCCTGAGTCTCCGGAGAAGGGCGGCATATAAAAATAAATAAATAAATAAATAAATAAATAAATAAATAAATAAATAAATAAATAAATAAATAAATAAATAAATAAATGTGACCATGGGGATGCTAAGTGTGAAAAAACCCCATCATAAGTCACTTTTTTTCCCCAGTGCCGTTGCAACTTCGAACGGTCGCTAAACGAGGACGGTATTGGAAGTCGAGGACTTGCCTGTACGTTAAACCTAGTTGAGAGTGCTGGAAATGGAAGATCAGCCTTTTTAATAAGAGCAACTGAAGTTGTGGCTGCCCCCTAAAACCTCCAAAGGGCCTTCAAAGTCATTGAAATCTGAATAATATTGACAATAAACTTTCACAAAAGCGAACGGGGATACTTTCTCATGTTAGCCGAGCAAAGTTTTAAAACCGCTTGGATGGGCCCCATTCGCTCAACGGCATCAACCGAGATGCCCCTTCTAAAATTTGTAGGCTACAAATATTTTTTTTCCCTTCCATTGCTGCCATTTGTTCTGGGCATTAAATTTGTGTTGGTCAAATATATATATATATTCTCCTTTGTTTTCTTCCTGGAACTCAGTTTGGGATTGTTAATCAAGACAAAGACTTGCATTGTGGCATCTGTGAGTTCAGATGCTTCGTGTTGCATGCCACTTGGTTCAGCCCCAACATAAAATTTCAACCTTCATCCCATTTCTTCTGCTCCAAGAAAAAAATCTTTTCTTAAACCCAGCGGCTGGATTTGAACATCCAGATACTACTGGGTCGGAGTGATAGAACGGCTGAAAGCTTGTTCTCACCAATAGTTTGTATATTCGTGGTTTTCTTGGCACGCCGGATGTTGAAAAAGTCAGTTTTAAGTGACAAAATGGAAACTAGGGTTGAAGTCATGGATGTTCGGGAGCTGATAAAATGGAATTATGCCAGGGGTGAAATCCAGCAGGTTCTGGAGAACCGGTAGTGGAAATTTTGAGTAGTTCGGAGAACTACCACCTATGGCTGGTCCCAGGTGGGAATGGAAATTTTGCAATATCCTTCCCCCAGGAGTGGGGAGGGAATGGGGATTTTGCAGTATCCTTCCCCTGGAGTGGGGTGGGAATGGAGATTCTGCAGTATCCTTCCCCTGGAGTGGGGTGGGAATGGAGATTTTGCAGTATCCTTCCCCTGGAGTGGGGTGGGAATGGGGATTCTGCAGTATCCTTCCCCTGGAGTGGGGCGGGAATGAAGATTTTGCAGTATGCCACTATGAGATGAACTAAGCAAAAGTAAAAAAAAATTCCACTAGGTTTATTAAAAACGTTTTGGAATACAAGTAGTGCTTGACTTGCTACAGTTCATTTAGTGACCGTTTTTCACAGTTACGACCACTGCAGCATCCTTACGGCCACGTGATCAAAATCCAGACGCTTGGCAACTGACTCATATTTATGACAGTCGCAGTGTCCCCTGGGGGGGGTGTATGTGTCACGTAATCCCCTTTTGCGACCTTCTGACAAGCCAAGTCAACGAGGAAATCGGATTCGCTTAACAACCGTGTTACTAACTTAACACGTGCAGCGATTCACTTAACATCTGTGTCCAAGAAAGGTCGTAAAAAGGGGGGGGAATTCACTTCACAAATCTTCACTCGGCGACAGAAATTTTGGGGTCAATTGTGGCCATAAATCAAGGAGTACCTGTAGTATCTACAGGAAATAATTTTATCATGACGAGAGAGAAAGAAAGAAAAAAAAATCACACTCAGAATCTCACAGTTTGAAATCCACACCAGTAGGGGGCGATCTTTCCTATGAGTATCATATAAATTGTGATAAGAAAGGTGAGCATCTCTTATATTAAATATTAGGAGGATGGGCAGCGTGGCCTTGATTTTATATGTAAAGTTTATACGGGTTGCTATTGATTGCTCCTTGATCATTAAAAAACATTTCAGTATAAGAATTGTAGTGGATATCTCCTAAAGTCTGCCTCATTAAAGTGCCTGGGACAAACCACACATATTGAAGAGGCCTGTTTGTCTTGGATTTCCCTCCACCCCCCCCCCCCAAAAAAATGGTACAGGTAGTCCCTGACCCCGGGACACTGCGGTCGTCATTAATATGAGTCAGTTGGCAAGCGTCTGAATTTTGATCACATCACATGACCGTGGCAATGCTGCAACGGCCATAAGTGAGGAAAAACAGTCATTAAGTCGCTTTTTCCCAGTGCCGTTGGTACTTCAGACGGTCACTAAAGGAACGATGGAAGTTTATACGAGGCGGAGGGAGTTCAGAGGTTTAAGCAATTCATGAATGATCCTGCACAGGTTATCTGCCATTTGTCAGAAATGGTGTAGGGGGCTCCTGATTGGGCGGGGGGTTGGACTAGATGACCTCCAAGGTCCCTTCCGACTTTTGTTAATCTGTTAATCTTTCCCACATTACACTTCGGCTTAGATGCATTTCGCAGTGAGGTTCACAACATATTTCTTTTGTGATAATTTAGGCACCGTTGTATGTATGTATGTATGTATGTGTATATATATATATAGATAGATAGATATATAACATAGATAGATAGATAGATAGATAGATAGATAGATAGATAGATAGATCCCGCAGTTCGCTCATCCCTCGAGGTTCAAGATTTGGTTTGTTTTTTTCCTTCGGGAACTCCAGGCAATGCTCATGAACAACAACGGCCCTGTGAGGTAGGTTGAAAAAGAACCAACCCCCCCCCCCCACATCCCCAGTGAGTTTCTTTGACTGTGAGCCCGTGTCAAATCACTAGTCCAAGAGTCAGCAACCTGCAGCTCCGGAGCCGCATGAGGCTCTTTCACCCCTCTGCTGCGGCTATCACTCAAAATATGCGTCACAACCGCCAATGTGCGACACCTGTCGGCACGCGAATTATTGAGCTTTTCAACCCTCCCCCCCCCCCCCGGTAGGCCAACCATGGATAAATCCCCCCCAAAATGAAAAGTTTCAGAAGAAAACAGAACCTTTAATTCAACTACAGAGGCTAGCTCGAGAAATAAGTCAGGCACGGGAAGGGTTTTGTGGCTCCCGGTGTTTTCTTTTCTGTGGGAAAGCAGGCAACAAGATTGGCAGTGTCTTCCTATTGCATTTCTCCTTTTTTTCTTTTTTTTGTGTGCAAAGATCCAGGATGAATCCCTATCATATATAAGGGATATATATATCGATAGGCAGGCAGGTACTACCTGGCTAGTGTTGACCAGTCAGCCTGGAGACCTGGGAGTGACCCACCTGTCCACTCTTTCCACCTGGGCGGTGTGTGTGTGGGCTCTCCCTCCCTGCCTGCATGCATACCTGAGCATCCCACGTGTTTCCAAACCGGCAGCTGCCCCCTCCCTCCATTTATCCCCCCCCCAGCCCACCGACCCCTTTTTAAATCCCACTTCGGCAAAACCCGCCCTGCCGCTCCGTCTTTCTACGCAGGCTTGAGGTCTGGCAACCGCAGGCTTTATCCTCCCCTTCCTTTCGCCGGATTTGCTTCTCTTCCCCCCCCCGCCCCCCTCGTTCTGTCTGTGTAGGGCCCGCGCGCATGTGCGTGGCTTGGCTCGCCTTTTGCGGAACGAGGAGGTGGAGGAGGAGGAGGGGAGAGAGAGAGAGAGAGAGAGAGAGAGGCGAGCCGGGGGGAGGCGGCGCCGGTTCCTGGAAGAGCCCAGCCTGGGGAGTTGGTCACATTCTTGGCTGGCATTCAAGAGCTGAGCAGACACCAACAAACAGAGGAGGTGGAGGAGGAGGAGGAGGAGGCGGCGGCGGCGGCGGACGACGACGGAGAGGAGGAGCAGCAAGCAGCAAGCAGCAGCAGAAGCAGCAGCATCGCCTCGCCAGATCGCCCGCCCGCCTGCTCGCCTGCATTGAGCTCAGCGCCGCCCGAACGTCCTCAATCCGGGCTGGAGCGAAAGTGAGCAGGGCCGGACGGAGGGGACCGCTCGTTCTCCGACCCTCTCTCCACGAGACAAGAGGGGCGAGATCAAAAGGACAAGCCGGTCCTCGCCAGACCGAGACAGACAGCAAGCAAAGCAGCAGCGCTTTTTTTTTTTTCTTTCCGCCTCTACCGGTTCGCTGCTGGGCAAAGGGGAAATATCTGAGACTCCCGGGGATCTTCTTCTTCTTCTTCGCCTCCTCTGGCTTTTGTGGCGGACCATGGACAGAAAGGCATCGGCTTCCCCGGCGCCAGGAGTTGCCGCTTGGATCCCGGACGGATCTCCCCAGGGTTACTAAACCAGCCTTTTTTCCCCCCCTTCTCTCCTTCCAGATCCCTTTTTATCCCACCCCCCGTTGCTCGTTTTGGGGGTGGGTGGGGGGCAGAGGTTTTTTTTTCTTTCTCCCACGGAAGAGAGAGGGGGGGTCCGGGGGCATTGCTTTCTCTCTCGCCCCCTTCTTTTTATAACTTTTTTCCCTCCCTCTCTTTCTCTCTCTCTCTCCCCCACCACCGCCCCTTCCCCGAAGATCTACTTCTCTCTCTCTCTCTCTCGCTTTCCTCTCCCCTGTTTTTTTTTTGGCTGCGGGGCCCAGAGAGCATTTTTTCTTCTTCTTCTTCTTTTTTTGGTCCCCCCCTAAAACTTGGGGGGGCGTCGGGAGGGAGGGAGGGGAGGGGGGCGCGAGGGAAAAAAAGGAAGCCCGGAGCGAAAGAGAAAAGAAGGCGCATCCAGAAAGCCGGGAAATGTGAGATCGTGGCTGGCTCCTTCTCGCCCCTCCGGCGTTAAAAAGAGAGGAACCGTCTGAACCAGGGAAAAAAAGGGGATTGTGGGGAGGGGAGAGGAGAGAGAGAGAGAGGGCTGCCTTTTTGGAATCGCCCCCCCTCTCTCCCTTGTGCTTGGAAAGAGCCCCCACCCCCCAAAAAAACCCCCACCACCCCCCAAGGCTGGAATTGGGGCGCCTTTCCCGCGGGGCCCCCCAAGCAAAAGGAAAAATTGGGCGCCGCAGGAACCAGGGACGCGGGGGGACCTCCGCAGGCAAGCCGCCGAAGATGGAGACGGTCCCTCGAAGCGGTTTCCAACCTCACCCCGGTTTGCAGAAGACCTTGGAGCAGTTTCATCTCAGCTCCATGAGTTCCTTGGGTGGCCCCGCTGCTTTCTCGGCTCGTTGGGCTCAGGAGCTTTACAAGAGGGAGAGCGCCAAGGAGGCAGCGGTGGCTGTGTCGGTCTCCTCCTCATCCTCATCTTCATCCTCCTCCGTGATGGCCCCTGAGCATCCTTTGCCTCCTCTGCCTCCCATCCCACCACCACCTCCTCCGGTGATGCCGGGCCCTTTCTTCATGCCTTCGGACCGCTCGACGGAGCGCTGCGAGACCGTCCTGGAAGGCGAGACCATCTCCTGCTTCGTGGTGGGTGGCGAGAAGCGGCTCTGCCTGCCCCAGATCCTCAACTCGGTCCTGCGCGACTTTTCCCTCCAGCAGATCAACGCCGTCTGCGACGAGCTGCACGTCTATTGCTCCCGCTGCACCGCTGACCAGCTGGAGATCCTCAAAGTCATGGGCATCCTGCCCTTCTCGGCGCCCTCCTGCGGCCTCATCACCAAGACCGACGCCGAACGCCTTTGCAACGCCTTACTCTACGGGGGAGCCTTCCCGCCTGGCCGCTGCAAGAAAGAGCTAGCCGGGGTTGGCACTGCCAGCGCCTTGGAGCTGGAACTGGAGCTCACCGAGCGGAGCTTCAAAATCTACCACGAGTGCTTTGGCAAATGCAAAGGCCTGTTGGTACCCGAGCTCTACAGCAGCCCCGGTGCCCCTTGCATCCAGTGCCTCGACTGCCGGCTCATGTACCCGCCGCACAAGTTTGTCATCCATTCCCACAAAGCCCTGGAGAACCGAACTTGCCACTGGGGCTTCGACTCGGCCAACTGGCGAGCCTACATCCTCCTCAGCCAGGATTATGCCAGCAAGGAAGAAAAAGCCAGGCTGAGCCAGTGCCTGGATGAGATGAAGGAGAAGTTTGACTACAGCCATCGGTACAAGAGGAAGGCGCCCAGGGTGAGCCAGGGCTTGTGGTGGTGGGGGGGCAGGTGAGGGGGGGGTCTCTATATTTGGGGGGGGGCGTCGTCATGGGGGACTTGTGGTGTCCCCCCTTCAAAGGAAGAGGCCTTTGCTGATAACTGGAAAGTCAGAAGGTGGCTCCAAGATGTTGGGATTTCAGCAGATCTCAAAGAGAGATTTGAACTGTAAACCCAGAATCCTTGCAAGCGATGTTGCTGGGTGCTTGGGACAAGTTGCTCGAGATGCTTGGGATGTGGGACATTTACCTCTTGGCAGAGGGGATATATATATATATACCCAATCCTTCAAGCTTCCTTATATCATGCCTGGGTCAGTTTTTTTTTTTTTGTAGCCTATTACCTGATTGGGACTTCTGGTATTCTGACCTTCCTGGAATTAACATGACTTTACAGTGAGGACGAATGTGAATGAATCCTGAAATTCATAGCTAATAATGTTCTTGGAATCTGCTTAAGGCAGTTGTGTTGTGCCAGATGGTCTCTTTTTCTTTTTTTTCCCCATTTGGAAAGCAAGTTGTCTCGAGTTCTTGCTTGGGTAAAAAGATGGGAGAATAAATCCAATCTACGTGCCTTTCCTCTGGATGGGAAGGGCTGATTTTTTAAATTTTTTTTAAGTAAGCGTGCAGCTGTACTTCTGGCAAGAGGCTTGTGTGTCTGTGTGTGTGTGTGTGTGTGTGTGTGTGTGTGTGTGTGTGTGTGTGAATCTCCAAAACTGGCTTTGTGCACACAGCAGAGGCTTTATGCTGTGCCAAAACTCAGTTTGCAGTAATGTGGGTGAAGCAGAACAACTCTTTGGTGTGTAAACGAGGTTTACAGATGTGCAAAAAAACAAAAACAAACCAAACAAACAGAAAAGGATACATCAGAACTCTGGATGAGGCTTGCAAGAAAAAACAAATTAAGTGGAAAGATACAGATTTAAGGTGTTTTGTCTGTCTTTGGGAACCAGCAGTGGCTTTCTATCAAAATAAATCCTTTTGCCTTTTTAATAATTTGGGGAATGTGGCGGGAGTCTCAAAACTTGTGCCCTGTATTCTTGGGTCAAAGAAAAATCTGTTATTAGCCATTGTGTCTTTTCTTTCTGCATTCTTACATGCACTTGCCTTTCTGTTTTGTGGTCTCTCCCCCCCATCTGTATTTTGTATTTTATGGTTAAATTTACATAGGGTACACAGAAAGGTTTTCTGCGCTGCAGTGGCATTTCTTAAAAATGGAGAATTACGTTGCGTAGTCTGTAGTTTTCATCGACCTGCCATAAATCTCAGGACTCTATAAAGTGCGTGAACTTTAAAAGAAAGAAGTAGTAAATTAATCTCTTTTCCTTCCAATTTACCGAATGGGATAGAATTGTCATATATATATATATTTATTTACACACACACACACATGCTGATTTGAAGAAATCCAAGGTGTTTTTTTCTCTATCCCTCTCTCTCTCTCTCCAGTCCTCTGTCTCTTTATTATTTCACATAGGGAGAAATTTTAACCAATCAATAAACTCATAATCCGAGAGATTCCAATTGTACTAATTCAGGGCACATATATAAATACGATTGGGGTTTTAGGATGTGTGCACAGGCTGTTTATTTTTTGATACCCAGCATTGTCTGGTTGTGGCTGTCTTGCCAACAATTTTTTGTACACGGGTTAAATATACACTCCGGAAATCGATGTGTCCATGCCAGGGCAACTGGGGAATTTGCCCAGCCAGACAGCTTTGAGAGGACATTGGTACAATATCCTCTTTATTTCATCCGCAAAACCGTGTTCAGTTCCCAGAATCCCTGGGGTTGGCGGTTGGGTGAGAAAGTGGCGCGGTGCGGAAGCCATGCCTTGGCACCAGGCCTGGGGAATAAAGTAGAAAGGTTGGGGGGGGGGTTTCTCTTGAAAATAATAATAATAATAATAATAATATCCGGTGCGATTTAGTCTGCCTCCTCCATTGCCTTGGAAAAAAAACAAAAAGGAGAGAAATTTTTAAGTTAGCTCTGCCATCGTGCAGGATTGTCAAACCCCCTCTGAATCATGGGGGATTTACAAATCTGTAAATCTGAAGAAAATCCACTTGATGGCTGGCAGGCAGGCAGGTGGAGGTGGGAGGGGGGGAAGCTTTCGGTATTTTTTTTTTCTCTTTAAATTCCTATGCATCTTATTTTGGAGAAACCCACCCACTCAACCCACAACTTTTGAGGCCACCGGGTCTGCCCGAAAGCAAGCATGCACCGCAAAGGAGCCTAGTAATAAAAAAAATAAATAAGTTTTTTAAAAAGGGGCAGAACAAAGAGACAATTTAAAAAAATAAAAATTCCTCGCTTCCTTCCTCCTTGTGTTTGCTCTCGAGTTTCCACTTTTTTTGAAGAAGAGGAAGCCATTTTCTGGGGGACTTCCCTCCCCCTCCCCTTCTTTTCCTTTCCTCCTCCACCCTCCAGTCTCCCAGAGCGTCCGTGTAAGAGCTATTGTCAGAACATTGGAGTCTAAAGACTGCACATTATCTCTCATAGACCAGGACTGGATGCGGCGTTAATAGCTTGTCTCCCTTTGGCTAATCATGGGCTAAAAGTAGCAATTGGCCTGAATGTCCTTCCTGAGTATGAATAAGAAGAGGAGGAACAGTGAAAAAATGATGTATTTGGGGAGGGTGTGTGTGTTTACTTTCATTGTAAATCCTAGCATTTTTATTATTATTATTTTTTTTTTTAAAGTGTCAGAAATCTGCTTGGTGACCCAGGAGTACAAACTTCAAAATGTACATTTCCTAGTGTTTTCTAGCTCTGTCAAATAAAAACCATCCCTTTCCGAAGACTCTTGAGCTGCAGAAATAAATTCCCCAAAATTAATTAATTAATTAATTAATTAATTAATTTTAAATTTGATTTATATGCTGCCTTTCTCTGGAGACTCAGGGCGGCTTACAATGCGTTAAGCAATAGCCTTCATCCTTTTGTATATTTATATACAAAGTCAACTTATTGCCCCCACAAACTGGGTCCTCAATTTACCTACCTTAGAAAGGATGGAAGGCTGAGTCAACCTACCTTGAGCCTGGTGAGATTCGAACTTGCAGTAATTGCAGGCAGCTGGTGTTAATCACAATGCTATCAGTCTGCTGAGCTACCAGGCCCAATTTATTTATTGGTTCGATTTATATGCCGCCCTTTCTCCTGAGACTCAGGGCGGCTTACAATGCGTTAAGCAATAGCCTTCATACTACCTGCTTAGTAGGGCTTTCGCCACCCCCTCCTCTAAGCGGTGTTCTTTTTTATACAAAATCAGCTTATTGCCCCCACAATCTGGATCCTCATTTTATCTACCTATGGTGGGAATGATGACTTTGAAAATAAGGAACAAAAGATCCGCTTGGAAGTACCCATGAGGTCATCTAATCCAACCCATGCGTTCTTTATTCCAGACAAAAGAGCAAGCGCTAAGGGATCTTTGCGGCTTTTAAAAGCATTTCTTTCATTTCATTCCTCCCCCCCCAAACTTGTGGAGGGTTCTCATTTAGGAGAATGCAGGTTAGAAGTATTTTTTCCTCCCCTGTCATTCTAAAATTGATGCCGTTTTGCTTTGGTTTAAACCAGCCAGGACGAGAGAGGTAGACCTCCACAGTTGAAGCTATATTGTGAGAATAGAGTAGACTTTAAGGTTAGTTTTAGCTGCTGCTTCTGCAGCTTGAATTTGGCTGTAAGTGCTTGTATTTTGGGAAGGCCTCTCTGTTTACCTGTCTTCCATGATTTTTCTCCTTCTGCTCATCAGATCCTGTTTCCATCCAACGCTGAGCCAAGAGAATAGTTGTTACAGTGCAGCAAATAATCATCTGAAGAATAATAAATCTGTGTATAAAGTTGTGGCGAGAGATGAATAACATTAAAATAAAGTTGAGATTTGTGAGGGGGGGGGAAAGGGGGGGGGGGGGCAGGGGACTAAATCCCACTTAATCTTGACCTGGGCTGCCTAAATTTTGGCTTGGCTGACTTCTCTTTTCCCGTTTTAACCATCGCTCAGTGCTGTTGTATTGCTTGCGCCTGCCTGCAATGCCATATAGGTAGTCCTCGACTTAATTCACTTAGCGACTGTTCGAAGTTACAATGGCACCGAAAAAAACATGACTTGTGACCGTTTTTCACACTTATGACCGTTGCAGCATTTCCCCAGGGATACGTGATTCACATTCGGGATGCTCGACAACCGATTCACATTTACGACCCAGATTCACTTAACAACGGGGTCACTAATTTAACGACTGCAGCAGGGATTCAATTAATAAACGGGCAATAAAAATTGTGAAATGGGACAAGCTCCCTTAACGAACGTTTCACTTAGCGACATAAATTTTGGCCTCATTTGTGGTCGTAACTTGAGAACTTTCTTAGTAACGGGGTTGTTAAGTGAACCTGGCTTCCCTATTGAAACCGTCATAAATAACATGCCAGTTGCCAAGTTCTATTAATTTTGATCATGTGACCACTGGGCCACTTCAGTGGTCGTTAAGTGTGAAAAACGGTCATAAATCACTTTTTTCCGCTGCCGTTGTAACTTCGAATGGCCATTAAACATAGTGTTGTAAGCTGAGGACTTCCTGTGCTTAGTCAGTGATACTGACTGGGGGAATTCTGGGAGTTAAAGTCCACCCATCTGAAAGCAACAAAAGTTGAGAAACACTGATCTATATTTTATTTATTATTTACAGCTGGAGTTAAGCCTATTTTTTTTTTGGCACTTCCTGAACGTTTTAACATTTTTTCTTTATTTTTCTTGGGATTAATCTTTCCCATATGGACTTTGAAATCTCTTTAAAACAACTGCTGGACTTTGTTCTCCTGTGTTTCCCCCACCTCCAAAAATGTGGTATGTTTCTTTTTCTTGGGTTTTTCTCCCTTTTCCATGATAACTTTTTAAACAACTTGCAGACAAGAGCTGGCTGATTCCTACTTTCTGTTTGTTTGATGTGTCTGAAAACAGGAACCCTTTCTCTTG